GTTGGGTCTGCGGGGCTCGGGCGGGAGCTGACGGGAGGAGAAACCGCAGCTACACCCACTTGACGGCCCCTGCACCCAGCGGGAGCACCGCACCGGGGCCGCGCTGTCGCCGAGAACCGGGGCCGAGATAATTGCTGCAAGTGAAAAGGAGATTTATTCCCCAGCGCTGACTGTTAAAAAAGGAGCAGGCTGACGGCGGAGCGGCTGAGGGCGTTTTTTTCCCCTCCTCTTTTCCCAGCTATTCAGCTCCCGCGGATTCCAGCAGAAAGCAATTTGGATGGCTTCGGGGAGCCCGCGCTGTAATTGAATTAGGAGAAGCAGCTGCTGCTTTGCAGCCACGCTCAAACTGCCGTTCGTTAGAAAAGTGCTAAAAATGAGGAGTGCTGCTTCCTCACACCGGCCCCGTGCTCAGCACCAGAACCTGCCAGGGAAGAAGATCCTGCATAGCCAGGGCGTAATTTGGTGCTATGCTTGCCTGCACCTCCCCAACCCGTCCAAGCGACAGGGAGAAAAGGGAGATGTGTTTTCCACCTTGGCTCTGCCTGGAGGTAGAGTCACGGAGAGGGAGCAGGTAGAGGTGGAGGAAGAGAGACATCAGAGCGAGTCCGGGGCAGGGCACAGCGAGAGGGAGAACGGAAAATAAACCTGCGGCGTGTCGAGGGGGAGCTGCGGCTTGGGGAGCAGAGGAGGCTTGGTCTTGCTTGGAGACGGACTCTCGGGAGCATCATCCTTGGCCTGACTGAGGTCCAGGGCAGTCCCATCGTCACAGCTACCGTGTTTGAGATCCCCCAGACCTTCCCTGGTCTTCCTGCTGGCGTCCTTGGATCCTCCTTGTCCTAGCAGTTCTTTAGGGAACACAAATTCAGCCGAGGGATGGCTGCTGATCTCACTGATGGTTATTTCCAGCTCACGGATCGTTTCTTCCAGGCTATCCAGTCTCCGGTACGTGCCCTCACAAATCTCCTTGCTGCGCAGAGTCATGGAGCGGCGAGGGGACAGCTGCCCTTTGCAGAGCCCCTCCGCCACCTCGCCCCCCACCCCGGCACCCTCCACGCCGCCTTTGCCCGGCGATGCCACGCTGCGGCTTGGCCGGG